TAACAGGACTGCCCCGGCAGAGCTCCCGACCGGCATGTACAGAGCATTGCAAAAGTATTCATCCCCCTTGGCATTTTTCCTATTTTGTTGCATTACAACCTGTAATCTAAATGGATTTTTATTTAGATTTCATGTAATTGACATACACAAAATAGTCCAAATTGGTGAAGTGAAATGAAAAAAATAACTTATTTCAAGAAATTCTAAAAAATAAATAATAGAAAAGTGGTGCGTGCATATGTATTCACCCCCTTTGCTATGAAGCCCCTAAATAAGATCTGGTGCAACAAATTACCTTCAGAAGTCACATAATTAGTTAAATAAAGTCCACATGTGTGCAATCTAAGTGTCACATGATCTGTCACATGATCTCAGTATATATACACCTGTTCTGAAAGGCCCCAGAGTCTGCAACACCACAAAGCAAGGGGCACCACCAAGCAAGCGGCACCATGAAGACCTAGGAGCTCTCCAAACAGGTCAGGGACAAAGCTGTGGAGAAGTACAGATCAGGGTTGGGTTATAAAAAAATATCTGAAACTTTGAACATCCCACGGAGCACCATTAAATCCATTATTAAGAAATGGAAAGAATATGGCACCACAACAATCTTGCCAAGAGAGGGCTGCCCACCAAAACTCACGGACCAGGCAAGGAGGGCATTAACCAGAGAGGCAACAAAGAGACCAAAGATAACCCTGAAGGAGCTGCAAAGCTCCACAGCGGAGATTGGAGTATCTGTCCAAAGGACCACTTTAAGCCGTACACTCCACAGAGCTGGGCTTTACGGAAGAGTGGCCAGAAAAAAGCCATTGCTTAAAGAACAAAATAAGCAAACACATTTGGTGTTCGCCAAAAGCCATGTGGGAGACTCCCCAAACATATGGAAGAAGTTACTTTGGTCAGATGAGACTAAAATAGAGCTTTTTGGTCATCAAGGAAAACGCTATGTCTGGCGCAAACCTCTCATCACCCCTCAAACACCTCTCATCACCCCGAGAACACCATCCCCACAGTGAAGCATGGTGGTGGCAGCATCATGCTGTGGGGATATTTTTCATCGGCAGGGACTGGGAAACTGGTCAGAATTGAAGGAATGATGGGATGGCGCTAAATACAGGGAAATACTTGAGGGAAACCTGTTTCAGTCTTCCAGAGACTTGAGACTGGGACGGAGGTTCACCTTCCAGCAGGACAATGACCCTAAGCATATTGCTAAAGCAACACTCGAGTGGTTTAAGGGGAAATATTTAAATGTCTTGGAATGGCCTAGTCAAAGCCCAGACCTCAATCCTATTGAGAATCTGTGATATGACTTAAAGATTGCTGTACACCAGCGGAACCCATCCTACTTGAAGGGCTGGAGCAGTTTTGCCTTGAAGAATGGGCACAAATCCCAGTGGCTAGATGTGCCAAGCTTATAGAGACATAGCCCAAGAGACTTGTGGTCCTCTGTAGCTCAGCTGGTAGAGCGCGGCGCTTGTAACGCCAAGGTAGTGGGTTCGATCCCCGGGACCACCCACACACAAAAATGTATGCACGCATGACTGTAAGTCGCTTTGGATAAAAGCGTCTGCTAAATGGCTTATTATTGTGGGGAGGGGGGGTGAATAGTTATGCACGCTCAAGTTTTCTGTTTTTTTCTCTTATTTCCTGTTTGTTTCACCCCAAAAAATATTTTGCATCTTCAAAGTGGCACGTTGTATAAATCAAATTATACAAACCGCCCAAAAATCAATTTTAATTCCAGGTTGTAAAGCAACAAAATAGGAAAAATGCCAAGGGGGGTGAATACTTTCGCAAGGCACTGTACTATGGTGCATTACATTTGTTGGAACCTCTCCAGCTTGCTGATAATAAAGAATTATTAATTTAATATTGACTTCATCTGTCCCTGGTGTTGAATTTCCACGACACCTCCCAAAAGACTCAATCTATAAGTGACAGGTTTCGCTGACCTAAAGCCGATAAACTATGGACGAGGGACTTTGGGGCGTTGACACAGTTTTACTATTGTTGAAGTATCACGTTTTATTTCATTGTGTAAAAAAAAGACAATAACAATATATTTTCAGTTGAGCATTGTAGGCAAGGATGTTGGATCTATTTGTTATCTGTTGTGGTTTAAAACTTAAATGTTTAAAGGAAAGGAGATGTTATGTGTAAGGCTTGGATGCCACCTGCTGGTATGGTGCTAAACTGTTAGGGTATAGACCGGATGCCATTGTTCTATGCGCAAGATATGGAAGTTGTAACATGCTGGCTAAGGCACTGTTGTCTTCTTCAATAAAACTGCATGAAACAGTAATAACCAATGATAGGTGGTTACATCAACCATTTATGAGCATGTAGTGCCTTTTGCTTCCAAAAAAAAAAACTGAAGAAGGTTGTCTCCTTCAAGGTGCAACTTTAGAAATGTTCAGTTGACTTGGTTGTTGTAAAGGTCATGCAGTCAACATACAGTACCAGTCAAAAGTTTGGACACACCTACTCATTCAAGGGTTGTTCTTAATTTTTACTATTTTCTACATTGTAGAATAATAGTGAAGACATCAAAACTATTAAATAACACATGGAATCATGTAGTAACCAAAAAAAGTGTTAAACAAATATATATATTTTATGTTTGAGATTCTTCAAAGTAGCCACCCTTTGCCTTGATGACAGCTTTGCACACTCTTGGCATTCTCTCAACCAGCTTCATGAGGTAGTCACCTGGAATGCATTTCAATTAACAGGTGTGCCTTGTTAAAAGTTAATTTGTGGAATTTCTTTCCTTCTTAATGCGTTTGAGCCAATCAGTTGTGTTGTGTCAAGGTAGGGGTGGTATACAGACGATAGCCCTATTTGGTAAAAGACCAAGTCCATATTATGGCAAGAACAGCTCAAATAAGCAAAGATAAACTACAGACTATCATTACTTTAAGACATGAAGGTCAGTCAATCTGGAAAATGTCAAGACCTTTGAAAGTTTCTTCAAGTGCAGTTGCAAAAACCATTAAGCGCTATGATGAAACTGGGTCTCATGAGGACCGCCACAGGAAAGGAAAAACCAGAGTTACCTCTGCTGCAGAGGATAAGTTCATTAGAGTTAACTGCACCTCAGATTGCAGCCCAAATAAATGCTTCACAGAGTATCAAGTCACAGACACATCTCAACATCAACTGTTCAGAGGAGACTGCGTGAATCAGGCCTTTATGGTCGAATTGCTGCAAAGAAACCACTACTAAAGGACACCAATAAGAAGAAGAGACTTGCTTGGGCCAACACGAGCAATAGACATTAGACCGGTGGAAATATGTCCTTTGGTCTGATGAGTCCAAATTTGAGATTTTTGGTTCCAACCGCAATGTCTTTGTGAGACGCAGAGTAGGTGAACGGATGACCTCCTCATGTGTGGTTCCCACCGTGAAGCATGGAGGAGGAGGTGTGATGGTGTGGGGGTGCTTTGCTGGTGACACGGTCTGTGATTTATTTTGAATTCAAGGCACACTTAACCAGCATGGCTACCACAGCATTCTGCAGCGATACGCCATCCCATCTTGTTTGCGCTTAGTGGGACTATCATTAGTTTTTCGACAGGACAATGACCCAAAACACACCTCTAGGCTGTGTAAGGGCTATTTGACCAAGGAGAGTGATGGAGTGCTGCATCAGATGACCTGGCCTCCACAATCCCTCGACCTCAACCCAACTGAGATGGTTTGGGATGAGTTGGACTGCAGAGTGAAGGAAAAGCAGCCAGCAATTGCTCAGCATATGTGGGAACTCCTTCAAGACTGTTGGAAAAGCATTCCTCATGAAGCTGGTTGAGAGAATGCCAAGAGTGTGCAAAGCTGTCATCAAGGCAAAGGGTGGCTATTTGAAGAATCTCAAATATAAAATATATGTTGATTTGTTTAATACTTTTTGGGTTAGTACATGAGTCCATATGTGTTATTTCATAGTTTTGATGTCTTCACTATTATTCTACAATGTAAAAAATAGCAAAAATAAAGAAAAACCCTTTCATGAGTAGGTGTGTCCAAACTTTTGACTGGTAGTGTATGTATATTATTTTACTGCTCTAGGGATACAATTATTGTTTGGATAACCTTATTTACTATTTTGTATTGATTTCTAACTTTAATTTTTTCGCTCCTTATGGGATGCGCACTGCAGAGAACACTGGAAGAAGAAATTTCACTGAACTACCACAGTGAATTATTGTAATGTTTGTTTATGTGCCATCCACCTTTGCACATAATAACTTGCTGACACAAAGGGTTGAATGGTTAGACATGATTACAAATGGCAGAAGTATTTTCATACAGTATTTATTTATTTATGTTATTTACATAGTTGGATGAAGGGACATTTCACACCCATGCAGCACAGTGAGGTAATACTGTATTCATTGTGTAAAATATGTTATTCTTCACAACATTAGATTTAAAAAAGTTACGTTTCACAAAATAATATTTTTTACTTCAAATAGGCATATTTAATCATCAGTACTAGATGCCGCGTTCATGTGGTAGTCGGAACTGGGAAACTTGGAAATGTCCATCTTGCTAAATGGTTGAACGCGGCACGTGTATAACTACACCAGTTAGCAAATCGGAAATGTCAGAATTTCCTAGTTCCGACTAGTTCGTGAACATGGTATCACAGCACATAACGGAACTGGCTTGAGACAGCAACAGAAGTCTTGCTTCTGACGTTCTGTTTCCAGACGGACATATTCAGCTGTTACTCAACGGAACAAACGTGTGTTTATATTTTTCATGCTCCTTGATTTGTAAATTTGCTCATATATGTGATTTGTTATGAATCCGTGAATAGGGTGTACTAGTAAACCGATACTGACGCACATTTACAGAATATAGATAATGCTCTCCGATATGCAACTGCGTCAATTTGAGTGATTTGTGTTGGATTTTTCAGCAAGTAATCCTGTCGGACAAGCTCCTTTTAGTACATTATTGGGCTAGCTCGCTAGCAAGCTACGTTAGTCACAATGAAGATCAGACGACAAAAGCAAGCCAAAAAAAACATTAATTTCTACAAACACAACTTCAGTTTTAGGGAGCCCTTTCAAATTCTGATCGACGGGACGTTTTGCCAGGCGGCTCTGAAGAATAAGATTCAAATCAAAGAGCAGATGCCGAAATACCTCATGGGGGAGGTGCAACTTTGTACTACAAAGTGAGTGGGGGTTTGCTGTTGTAGTCAATGTCACACTGTCATGAGTTTTACCCAACGACTGATTTTTTTACTATTCAGTGTAAATGTGTGTTTTTATGTCCTACAGTTGTGCGCTGAAGGAACTTGAATCACTGAAGGACCTCTATGGTGCCAAACTCATCCTGCAACGGTATCAGGTTAGAAACTGCAAGCATTTCAAGAACCCCGTCTCTGCGTCAGAGTGTCTGCTGTCCATGATGGAAGGGACCAATCCTCACCACTACATTGTTGCTACACAGGTACGTGTTATAGCGTATCTTTACTTAGTTGGGTCAATCAATGGTCGGGTTTCCCTGCTTAGAGACGTTTCGTGCCACGTCAATTGACTGTGCCTTTGGGCACCAGATTGCTATAACATGGGTGTTGTGTTCCTCTGTTCAGATGTTGCTGACGCATGCCAGATCTTACAATGCCAGGATAAGTATCAACTAACCACATAAGTTATAGCGATCTGCTGCCCGATGGCACAGTCGATGACGTGGCACGCAAACATTGGTTGATGCATACAACGTCTGAGCAGGGGAACACGGCCATGATGTGGTGAGCTGTTACATAAAATACCTATCCAGGCGTTGTAAGATCAGGGATGCGTCAGCAACTCTTGAGCAGAGGCACATGCCTATGCGCTGAATCTAGTTGATGATCCTTGTGCTAGACACTTGTCTCGTCAGCATCAACAACCAATAGTGCCGCCTATCTAGCTGCATGCATTCAGTCTATACCAGATGCACTGATTCACCTCTTCCTGTCTGATGTTTACATTTCAGGACCAAGAGGTGACATCAGGCCTGAAGAAGATCCCAGGCGTGCCTCTCCTGTATATCATCCTCAACACCATAGTGTTGGACAAACCCAGCCCGTGCTCGGTGAACCATGTGCAGGCTGTGGCTCTGGGAGAGATGGTCACCCCAGCCCAGCAGCAGAGCATTAACAGCCTGAAGGAGGTGCAGGGGATTGGGCAGGATGGAGAGCGCCGGGGCAAGAAGCGTAAGAGGAAAATCTCCAACCCCAACCCGCTCAGCTGCCTGAAAAAGAAAAAACAGACACAGCTGCTTAAGACTGAGGGTGAGAAGAAGAAACGGAGCCGGCGAAGGAAACGCAGCAAGCCAGAGGGTGGGGAGGGTCCATCCCTCAAACCGACCCTAAACCCCTAGTGGTGGGAAGAGACTTTGTTGAGGGCAGGATATAACAATGTTTTTTTCCACCATTCCCAAAGGTTGAACAACTGAATATAAGAAAGACTGTACATATTTTTTTTATAGATAATGACCGTTTAGATCTTTATTAAACCAATTTGCTCTGCATTTGCCAGTTTAAAGGCATCCCAATTCAAGTTCCAAATACAGGTCCCCTGTAGCTCAGTTGGTAGAGCATGGCGCTTGCAACGCCAGGGTTGTGGGTTAGTTTCCCACGGGGGGCCGGTATGAAAATGTATGCACCCACTAACTGTAAGTCGCTCTGGATAAGAGCGTCTGCTAAATGACAAAAAAAAAAGTCTGGAAAACATATTTTGAAGAAGAACACAATGAATCATGACATCAGCATGCTTCTAAAAACGTATCCTTAAACAGTTCACAATCTTGTTTTTGAACACCATTATGAGTTGAACGTCAGAAGGTATTGATCTTCTAAGTCATTATTATAGTAAGTCCATAACCATTATACCCAATTCTCTGGCTCAATGAACCAGCTATGAAAAGGATTGTCATTGACATGAACTGTTGAAACAGTATTCATTTTATTAGAAAAGTAACAAGTTGCTTGGGCTCAGGACTACAGGCATGGCATCATAATACAATTATTGATGTGTAAGAATACACTTCAGCAACAGTATCTACAAGATGTGTTGTTTTGGGTTTTATACAGAAAGGAGAATGCAAGTTTACCGGCACATAATTCAAAAGAAGGGATGCACTGAAACATTACATGATTTACAATTTCAGAAGATTGTGGATATCAAAACAATGCATTCGTTGTCATTGTAAAGGATGGTCAGAATTATTATAAATTGTGCTCTGCAGCGATGAACCATAAGATGAGCAATATCGTATTCAAGCTATCGAATAATGACTATCGCAATGAGTTTAGTACAAACACCTACGCACATATTAACATAATTAAATTAAGACTTGCCATGTGATGTTTCCCAGTAGTTATCATTGCATCAAAACTGTCTGTTTTAGATTATTAATAAATACCAAATTAAAGTTTCTCTATATGCCAGAGATTACTTAACATTCAGCTGCATCAGAGTTGATTAATGAAATGAAATTTCCAGACACACACAGGTGACTTGAAATGTAGAGATTTTGTTGAAAACTATAGTTTAAAATATCTGATGCGAAAAATGCAGGCTTAACTAAGTCTCATTCTGAACAAAACATTAAGATCTGCAATAGATAGTTGATACGAGTATCATTGTCATAGTATGTGACTTAAAGGGAATGATTCAAGTAATACCATAAAAATGCAATTTCAGGAGCAATTACTTGGAATAAAAAAAATGGAGAAGGCAATGAGGGTACAGTTTCAAATTTTTTTTTTTTAAACCTACATGATCCTCAAATCCCCACAACAATGGAGACCTATTCTAAATACCTGCAGCTATGAAAAAATTAAGTACAATCAGGGACTTAAGCACTTGTAAATGCAGAATTAAGAACTAACCCATTGGAACGCTTGAAGCTACTAAGATACTGTTGGTCTTCAAGATAAGATTGTTGGTGTATACTATTCAGTTGAGTGTTTCAGAAACTTGCTCAATACTACATGCTCCTTTTGGCTAAAGGGTAGAAAACATGATAACTATTTTTTAATGGGAGGGAAATAGAACCTTGGAACGCAACATGATTGGATTATCACTCACATTCTAGCTAAACACAAAGCGCTTTCATTGGATAACAAAAGCCCAAAAGACGGAATACGATATTCCCGCCAATCATGACATTCAGAGATTTCACCCCCCACCAATCGCCACTTGACCTTTAAAAAAACAAAAAAACATTTTTATCTCAAGAAAGACAAAAGCACATAGGTATATATATATATATATAAAAAAAGGCACAAGGACAGAGAAAACAAAAACACATTAAAAAAAAATATATATCAGCCAGTGTTGAGTCTCTAGATGAGGTGAAAGCGGGCTCCAGGGGTGGCGATGATGTCGCTGTAGGGCTCTGTCTGGTTGAGCTCCACCGCCTGCTGCTTTTTCAGAACCAGGAAACTGTAGAACTTGGCGGCGGCCTGCTTCTTGTTGTTGTTCCTGCACAGATCCAGCAGGCTAATTTGCTGGGCCCCCGTCTTCGCCATCACCCTCTGTTGAAGGGAGGGAGAGAACTGTTAGGTCACAGTTAAGACCCGGTTCTGGTTAGAAATGTAGGGATTGTTCACTTGGTGGGTCACAACGTCTAGTTGAGTTCTCTCGTAAAAGCTCTCCTATGACATACCTGCAGGCCGTGGAGCATCTGCTGGGTTCTCTTGTTCCATCTCTTCTCCTCTCGGTCCTGGTCTCCAGCCTGACCCTCCTCATCCTGCCATTGAACACACATAACATTAACTCTATATACATGCATACTACACAGTAGCCAATGTACAAGCAACACAAGACAGGAAGAGACATGCTTCTGCAAACTCCTAGGCCTACATATTTAGCTTCCAAAGGAACATAAGACAGACTAGATCAGTGGTCACAAGCCATGGTCCAAGAAAGCCACATTGTCTCCAGGCTATTCCTCCAGCCCTACACTAACACACAGTCCCATCAGCTGTTTAGTGCTTGCTTGGAACACAAGCTTGCACACCCTGTAGCTCTCCAGGACCAGGGTTGGCGGTGACCTCTGGAACATCTTCGTATCTGTCTCACCTCGTCTGAGTCGTCCTCGCCGTCCTTCTTGTCCTTCTTCTCCTCTATCAGGTCGAGCTCAGGGAACTGGCTGAGGTTGGTGCTGTCCTCGGGGGGCAGCGCCAACGTCATGTCCAACTGCTGGAACACACCTGAATGGTTGGCGGCCTGTTCCAGAGTACCCATCTGGATGGAGAGAGAGGAAGAATGTTTGAGTGAGTGATTGAGTAGGGGGTTGAATATGGGCAAAAAGGTAAAAGCAGGTCTAACTTCTATCAAAAAGCACTAATGAGATCTCTCAGTGCATACAATATCAAACACCAAAAAGCCTTGTATGCTAGACAAACTGCCTTTGAAAGTTTCCCTAGCCATGGTTAAACAGGGCTTGAGCGACGAGAGGAGGAAAGAGGCACTCACGGGCAAGGCTGGCTCTGTGTCCTGGGCCTTGCGTTTCTGGCCGTGCGTGGATGAGGGTGGGGGCATGACTGACTCGTCCAGGGTGGTCCTGCTGCCCTCCATGGCTGATGCCTGCAGTACACTGGGCTCCTCCAGGATTGTCTGGTCTGGAGAATGGACAATGTCACACAGAAAGAACATTAAAAACGTAGCACCAATCAAAGGTATTGAGTACAAGTACATGACTGTTATGGTTCAGCATCGGATGAGGTGCTTATGTCAGATTGGGAGTCTGTCTGCTCCACTGGTGTTGAAGAAATTTGAAGTGTACTACTTTGAATGTATCCATGCGTCTACTTTGAATAGTAGCCTGTGTCTTTATATTATATCCATGCTAAGAGTTGGCCCTCTAGCCTATAAATGGCATCTACTGTAAAGGATTGCACTGTTGCCATTCAGTAGTGAGTTAACTTAGTGGAGTATCTCACCGATGATGTCCCTCTGCATGGCCTCCTCTCTGGGCACCTCAGGGTTCTCCAGGTCCTTTAGGAACTCATCCAGGCTGTCTGCCTCACCTCCCTTCCTCCTCTTCCTCATTTCGTCTGGCACCAGGGGGGTCAGGGTGCGGGTGAACATCTACAGAAAGAATGGGACAGAGAGAGAGAGGAGAGAGGAAAGAGTCAGTGTTGAAAAAAGAAAGAGGCTAGGTAGCAACAACATGCACAAAACCCCTAAAGTAGTGGCTACATTGTCCTCACAAACTAACTGTTGAGAATAGAAACGTATATAGAAAAGCTCTAATGAAAGAGGTTCAGGAACTAACATGCACACATCTGGGGGGAACACAGAAAGCCATTGCCAGGTGCTGGATTGAGAACAATAACACAGTAAACAGCCCTTGTTTGTCTAACTACCAGACCAGTTGCTGGGTTACCTTGAGAAGCCTGCCGTTCCAGAGGGGCTGTGCTGGCAGGGAGAAGAGCTTCTCCACACCTCCCGTCTCTTTCCACATCATCAGCTTCTTTGTGGGCGGCGCAAGGTCCAGCGTGGTGACGATGTCAGAGTAGTCGCTGAGCTGGGCACGGATGGTCTTGCTGTCCAGCTCCTTCAGGTTGTCCACAATTAGCTTCCTCTTCCTCTTGGCTTTGGTTTCCTTCACTGTGAGGTGTAAAGAGAAAATAACTTGTTAGTGAATAGTGACATTTGGTGGCAGAACTGGGATCCAGAGTGGAAGGGATGCCTTGAAAGACAAGCAACTCAAATTGTTGAAGAAGATTTCTTGAGTGCTGCTAAACTCCAAGAAGAGCAGTGGTGCTACTAATTGAATATGTTATGACATAGGCCTATCAGATGTAGTGACAGACATAACAATACGGGTTTATTATAATATCATAACATGAATATAAACATTTGTTGAGAGGTTGTGGGCTGACCTGTGATGTCGATGGGCTCCAGAGCGAAGGCCTCCTCTTCGTTGTGTACCAGCGTGGTCTGCTCCGTCTGGTCCTGCATGGTGGGCAGGGGCTCCGCTGGGTCTGAGTCTGGGCTGTCTGGACCTCCCGCTACACACACACACACACACACACACACACACACACACACACACACACACACATACACTGAGTGTACAAAACATAAGAAACGCCTGCTCTTTCCATGACAGATTGACCAGGTGAAAGCTATGATCCCTTATTGATGTGGGGGAAAAAAGTATTTAGTCAGCCACCAATTGTGCAAGTTCTCCCACTTAAAAAGATGAGACAGGCCTCTAATTTTCATCATAGGTACACGTCAACTATGACAGATAAATTGAGAATTTTTTTTCCAGAAAATCACATTGTAGGATTTTTTATGAATTTATTTGCAAATTATGGTGGAAAATAAGTATTTGGTCACCTACAAACAAGCAAGATTTCTGGCTCTCACAGACCTGTAACTTCTTCTTTAAGAAGCTCCTCTGTCCTCCACTCATTACCTGTATTAATGGCACCTGTTTGAACTTGTTATCAGTATAAAAGACACCTGTCCACAACCTCAAACAGTCACACTCCAAACTCCACTATGGCCAAGATCAAAGAGCTGTCAAAGGACACCAGAAACAAAATTGTAGACCTGCACCAGGCTGGGAAGACTGAATCTGCAATAGGTAAGCAGCTTGGTTTGAAGAAATAAACTGTGGGAGCAATTATTAGGAAATGGAAGACATACAAGACCACTGATAATCTCCCTCGATCTGGGGCTCCACGCAAGATCTCACCCCGTGGGGTCAAAATGATCACAAGGACGGTGAGCAAAAATCCCAGAACCACACGGGGGGACCTAGTGAATGACCTGCAGAGAGCTGGGACCAAAGTAACAAAGCCTACCATCAGTAACACACTACGCCGCCAGGGACTCAAGTCCTGCAGTGCCAGACGTGTCCCCCTGCTTAAGCCAGTACATGTCCAGGCCCGTCTGAAGTTTGCTAGAGTGCATTTGGATGATCCAGAAGAGGATTGGGAGAATGTCATATGGTCAGATGAAACCAAAATATAACTTTTTGTTAAAAACTCAACTCGTCGTGTTTGGAGGACAAAGAATGCTGAGTTGCATCCAAAGAACACCATACCTACTGTGAAGCATGGGGGTGGAAACATCATGCTTTGGGGCTGTTTTTCTGCAAAGGGACCAGGACGACTGATCCGTGTAAAGGAAAGAATGAATGGGGCCATGTATCGTGAGATTTTGAGTGAAAACCTCCTTCCATCAGCAAGGGCATTGAAGATGAAACGTGGCTGGGTCTTTCAGCATGACAATGATCCCAAACACACCGCCCGGGCAACGAAGGAGTGGCTTCGTAAGAAGCATTTCAAGGTCCTGGAGTGGCCTAGCCAGTCCCCAGATCTCAACCCCATAGAAAATCTTTGGAGGGAGTTGAAAGTCTGTGTTGCCCAGCGACAGCCCCAAAACATCACTGCTCTAGAGGAGATCTGCATGGAGGAATTGGCCAAAATACCAGCAACAGTGTGTGAAAACCTTGTGAAGATTTACAGAAAACGTTTGACCTGTGTCATTGCCAACAAAGGGTAAATAACAAAGTATTGAGAAACTTTTGTTATTGACCAAATACTTATTTTCCACCATAATTTGCAAATAAATTCATAAAAAATCCTACAATGTGATTTTCTGGAGGAAAAAAATCTCATTTTGTCTGTCATAGTTGACGTGTACCTATGATGAAAATTACAGGCCTCTCTCATCTTTTTAAGTGGGAGAACTTGCACAATTGGTGGCTGACTAAATACTTTTTTTCCCCACTGTACCTGTTAAATCAGTGTAGATATAGGGAGGAGACTGTTTTGATGAGTGAGTTCATGTTTAAGTTTTACTCAGCACTGTCAACACTTTCTATTCAACACTACTTCCACTAATGCTACAACCAGCACTGCAGCTGCAATGAATGCATAGGAAAGTGTATTGATAGGCTTGTGTTGTTATTATTAGTGGCTTGGGTATTTTTTTTATATAGTACCAGTCAAAAGTTTGGACACACCTACTCATTCAATGGTTTTTCTTTATTTAGAATAGTGAAGACATCAAAACTATGAAATAACAAATATGGAATCATGTAGTAAACAAAAAAGTGTTAAACAAATCAAAATATATATTTTATATGAGATTCTTCAAATAGACACCCTTTGCCTTGATGACAGCTTTGCACACTCTTGGCATTCTCTCAACCAGCTTCACCTGGAATGCTTTTCCAACAGTCTTGAAGGAGTTCGCACATATGCTGAGCACTTGTTGGCTACTTTTCCTTCACTCTGCTGTCTGACTCATCCCAAACCATCTCAATTGGATTGAGGTCGGGGATTGTGGAGGCCAGGTCATCTGATGCAGCACTCAATCACTCTCCTTCTTGGTAAAATAGCCCTTACACAGCCTGGAGGTGTGTTGGGTCATTGTCCTGTTGAAAAACAAATGATAGTCCCACTAAGCGCAAACCAGATGGGATGGCGTATCGCTGCAGAATACTGTGGTAGTCAAGCTGGTTAAGTGTGAATTCTAAATAAATCACAGACAGTGTCACCAGCAAAGCACCCCCACAACATAACACCTCCTCTTCCATGCTTTATGGTGGGAACTACACATGCGGAGATCATCTGTTCACCTACACCGCGTCTCACAAAGACACAGCGGTTGGAACCAAGAATCTCCAATTTGGACTCCAGACCAAAGGACAAATTTCCACCGGTCTAATGTCTATTGCCTGTGTTTCTTGGTCCAAGCAGGTCTCTTCTTATTATTGGTGTCCTTTAGTAGTGGTTTCTTTGCAGCAATTCGACCATGAAGGCCTGATTCACACAGTCCCCTCTGAACAGTTGATGTTGAGATGTGTCTGTGACTTGAATTCTGTGAAGCATTTATTTGGGCTGCAATTTCTGAGGCTGATAACTATAATGAACTTATCCTCTGCAGCAGAGGTAACTCTGGGTCTTCCATTCCTGTGGCGGTCCTCATGAGAGCCAGTTTCATCATAGCGCTTGATGGTTTTTGCAACTGCACTTTAAGTAACTTTCAAAGTTCTTGAAATGTTCCGTATTGACTGACCTTCATGTCTTAAAGTAGTGATGGACTGTCGTTTCTCTTTGCTTATTTGAGCTGTTCTTGCCATTATATGGACTTGGTGTTTTACCAAATAGGGCTCTCTTTTGTATACCCCCCTACCTTGTCACATCACAACTGATTGGCTCAAACGCATTAAGGAAAGAAATTCCACAAATGAACTTTTAAAAAGGCACACCTGTTAATTGAAATGCATTCCAGTTGACTACCTCATGAAGCTGGTTGAGAGAATGCCAAGAGTGTGCAAAGCTGTCATCAAGGCAAAGGGTGGCTATTTGAAGAATCTCAAATATAAAATATATTTTGATTTGTTTAACACTTTTTTGTTTACTGCAAGATTCCATATGTGTTATTTCATAGTTTTGATCTCTTCACTATTATTCTACAATTGAAAAAATAGTAAAAATAAAGAAAAACCCTTTAATTTGTGCATGAGGCAGAAATAATGCAGTGCTACTCGAGTTTCGCCATCAGCTGGAAGACTGTGTCCCTTTTTGGTCAGTGTCAGCGGAGGAAAGGGAAAGCGGAGGGACGCTGAAAGGCAGACCCTCAATCTGCTGCCCTCTCCCTCCGCTGAGACTGACCATCTGATGCAGGCTCCATCAGCCCAGTAAAATAAAAAAGCGAATTATTAAAAATGTATGCTCACTCAGCTGTGCCTCACAAGGAACACAACAACTGATCTATTACCGGTGTGATCATATAGCCTACCTCAAATGTTGAATTGTAAATAAATAAATAAATTAAAAAAAATTAAAAAAATGTGGTGATAATGTTTTGGGCCCATAGCCTGCTGCACAAACCTCATTACTACTGCACTGTTTTTAATAGGTTAATGTTGCATAGGCTTACGTTTTTTAAGTCATGTAAAAACAAGTCTGAACAGTAGACCTTGGCTTGCATTTTGACACAGAAAGTTATCTTGACTCAAAAATATTGTGTTTTCAGCTGGTGTAAAAAAACTAACGTAAAAGACACAAAAACGTAAGTCGCTCTGGATAAGAGCGTCTGCTAAATGACTCAAATGTAAATGTAAAAACGAAACGCAAGTACGGGAAGCATAGAAATAGCGCACATAGAAAATATCCACAGCTTCTTAGACTTGCTTTCAATGAGAATGACAGATATATCACACACATTTCTATGTGAATTTGGTTGGGTCGCCCAAAACGTTACATATTGCAGCTTTAAAATCCCTTTTGGAAATAGCACATGGCAAGTGTTGCAACTCACGTGAGAGGGCATCAAAGTCGTCTTCGTCATCATGGTCCTGCAGTCTCAGCACACTCTCGGTGATGGCAGGAGGGTCGTCGAAAATGCCACCCCCATCCTCGTTACTGAGGAGCTTGTCAACTAGAGACAGACAGGAGAGTGGAAATGCTCAGCAGGAGTTAAAACATTTACATTTTAGTCATTTAGCAGATGCTCTTATCCAGAGCGACTTACAGTTAGTGAGTGCATACATTTTTTCATACTGGCCCCTCGTGGGAAACGAACCCACAACCCTGGCGTTGCAAGCGCCATGCTCTACCAAGTGAGCTACAGGGTACCTTAGCTAACAGGTAATTCCCAATTAAGCTGACACATGCAGTGTTTACTGCGAATGCAGTCTCCACAAACAAGGGAACATTGCCTTTACATTTCTATTGCGCAACTCTTCGGTTCTACAGAATGTATCGAGCCCCAGGGCTACCTTAGCAAACAGGGTTCATTCATTCATTAATGTAAACAATTAATTGGCCACATTAGTCATGGAGAAGGTACGGGCTGTCTCCCAATTATATCTCCTTCCTCCCACACCTGTGCACACTTCAGGAGGAAGGAGATATTATTGGGACGCACCCAAGGAGACAAGGAAAGAAAAGCTTTTAACAGAATTTGGACGTATCCCAAACCAGATTATCCTTCCTTCTTACCCAGCATGCCTCCCTCGCTGTCAGCCATGGGGTCCTCTCCGAAGTCATCTTTGTACTGGTCGTCGTATTCCAGGTGGTTGGACTTGTCTGGGATCTGGGCCCCCGAGGTCTCTGGGTCTAGGAGCAGGTTAGAGGCTGACGCCACGTGGATGATGTCCACCTCAAAGGCACTCTCCTCCCGCATCATCTCCCGGTCGTCCATTCCAAAGTCAGCTGAAGGGGAGAGAACATTGAGTATGTTAGAATGCGTTTTCGCAAGTGTATATACAACAATAATGTGTGGCAGGGATTGTCGTACTAGGAAGGGAGGAGCTTGGAATGGGATGAGATAGGCTGGAGTATGGGTGCATTTCAAGCATCTGCCTGGATATGAAACCATGGTAAAAACATGGTAAGCCACTACCAAGCATTTGCTATCACCTATCCAGATCAGTGCAGATGAGGTTAAGGAGATGAAGAAAGGAAGCCACTACAGATTGAGATGCAGCAAAGGTTTAGTTTGAAGAGTGAGGGGTGGTGAAAGGATTGGAGTAGGAGGCCAGGCTATGTACCGAAGTCATTCTCCTGCAACAAGCTCAGGTTGCCCACCTCCTCCCTCATAGTGATCTCTTCCACTCGACTCTGGTTCAATGTGAACTGCTTGGTTACATCGATGTCGCTGCAAAGACAACATAAATCACTAACACTGAGCGAAGGAACATCTAATGCACTTGATACAAGCAAATCAATACCCGTAAGAGCATCCAGGACATATACATAAATGGAGACAGAGCACTCATCGATGCTACATGAAAAATATCAAAAAACACATTTAAACTTGTTGGGCTCCGATGACATGCAGGACTCACTCTAGGTCTGGTAGTGGCTGGTCGAAGTCGTGGAACTCTTCTGGCATGGTGATGGCGTTGTAGGCAGCTTCTCTGTTCTCCTCTGGCAGATCCACCACACCTGAGAGGGCAGGGATGGAGGCAGGAGTCAGGCCAACTCAGACCCACATAATACACAGCCATAACATCTTCCTACAATGTCAGTACAGTCTAACAGCCCAGTGTGCCTCTCACACGTTTCATATTGGGACCCTTTCAGGAGCCCCAATTTCAGTTCATTCAACAGTATATGAAAATGCCAAAACCAACGGCAAAATGAAGATTTAAAGGAGATGGAGGTTGAGCCAAACTGTATCTCTGAGTCTTGAATGTAAAAAAAAAACTAAGAAGATGTTGGACCAGTCCATCCCCCTAGCCAATACATTACCTGGTCTGAAGGCCATCTTGATCTTGATGAATGCCTCATTACAGTCAGCCAACAAGTACTTGGCTTTCCTGTTGTAGATCCTCACCACCCCCAGGAGTAGATGACCTGACGTACGCAGGGCCATTTTCACCTGGACAAATAAAGAATAAGAAATAATGTAATTTACTTTAACACAGTGTTCAGAAATACACTTCCCCCTATGGCGAGATAATTCACTTCAAATCAGCATCTACAACTCTAGTATGCTCATGCGTCATGTCTTGACTCACAGCCAGTGTGTTGAAAATTGACCCTCTTCTACTGGTTTACGCAACACTAGTCTGTCAAAGTACCCTTACTGCAGCATTACTCTAGTGGAGACTAGACAGTGCAGCACATGACTGAAACACATAATAGAAGCCCTGTATCGATGATAGCTTGTTTACCTTGGGGCAGATGATGCTCTCCACACTGCTCTCCAGGTTGCATTCAAACACATGAGCCTTGGTGAGCTTCTTATCCCAGTGGGCCGCTAGCCAGATCTTGGCCAGCGGCCCACGTTTGCTGAGGACAAAGTGGGCGTAAAACATTGTCCCAGCACCTTCTCACCAATGGGTGAGGGGGGGACACCAGCCTGCAGGGACAAAGGTTTGAAAAAACTTCCAATCACAAGAAGTGATACACTTTTGATGGTCATATTGAATAAGGAAAGATTGGACTTTGAGAAATACATGTTAGAAACCATGCATTAACCGTCATTTTTATACTACACTTTGCATTACTCAATCTGTCACAGTAACATTTGACTGTGTCATCAGTCCTCTCCGCTGGCAGACCAAAAACACTTTTCACGCTGCATTGCATGAAGAAAGTGCGTTGTGGATAAATGCTAATAAAATGAATAAATAACAACGATTGAATACTAAGAAGTTAAATTATGTAATTAAATAAATAAATTAAAATGGGGTAATTTTGTGATTTGTTTACTTAAACGAAGAATTTGCAACTATATCTGTCAAGCTAACTAGTTAGCTACTGAGGCCCAATCTGGGCGCTGTCCTGATCTTTCGGTACCTACCGTCCATGTGGAGGGGGGCGGAGGTTGACACAGAGCTAGTTTTCGTAAATTGAACCACATACTGTACTTAAACATATCGGAATATTTATTAACAATGGACAACTAGCTCAGTTGTCAAAAGGTATACATATAACTATATTACCTAGCTAAATTAGTTAGGAACCCAATCGTTTGGATTGTAAAGAATTTTTTTTTTTAAACCGGGCCTCGGCGCGAGCACAAACTAGCTAACCGTAGGCAGCTATCTTTTTGGTGTTTTGCAGGAGACGCGCGCGCCACAGTGATCTGAATTTATTTCCATAAATATTGGTACAATATAGCGTTCCAGTTTAATAAACCAATGTGAAGTTATCTAAATACACACAGTACAACAGGTAGGTAGTTAACAGAATAGGATAACTAATGTAATGTTACCAACCAGTGTGTGCAACCACGTAACCAACAACCTCCTGTAATTTCCAAAACAGAGCGCGTATTCTGATAAGATTTTTGGTTCGGGTCTACAAAAACGGAATCCAACATACAGAACATTAGCTTCATTCCAGTAAATGAAAGTATATTTAAAATGTAAACAACTCACCAATTACGCACCAATTGTAGTTGTTTTGGGCGGCCGTAGTTTACTTTTTTCCACCCCTTCTCCTCCTCCCACTAAAAACAAACAAAATGGCGCGGACTTTTTGGTTTCTTCCGCCCGCCCAAATATTATTTTCAAATCCACAGGATGTTTACAAGACCGTCAGCGGTTTCCACTAGTTACCACCACAGCCACAAAGTCAAAATGGCATATCTGGTAAAAATGTATGAAAACAAAAATGAGCTTTTAGGTCTTGATTCAAGGTTAGGCATAAGGTTAGCATCGTGGTTAAGGTTAGGTTTAAAATCAAATTTTAATCAGAAAAATTGTTGAAATAGGCGGGGTTTATGACTTTGTGGCTGTGGTTACTAGTGAAGACCCAAGTAAGCGGGTGGTCAGGCAATAGCGAATATTTTTTTATAACTAAAACAAGATAAAACACAGCCTGTCCTTTCCAATGGGAACAAATGAGTCATAGTGGGCAGAACAAGCAAGGAGGTGGGCAGAGCCAAGCACGAGCTAGCGAGATCATATTTGCCTATTCTAGCAAACATCTGCATATCTCCGTTAGGGAACGCAGACTGTGAAACGCGCGTGTGCAAAAACTAAATTCGCCTTTGCACTCCTACACGACGCGATTTTTAAAAACTTTGGCAAAGGGTAAAGTCTACAAAACTTAGTCCACTCTGTTCATAACAGATTCTAGTTTTGGGAACAGAAAACGGTATTGAGATCAAACGTTTCATCATGAGAAAATTTGCAGAATGTCGGCCAAAATCCATCTCCATCCATCTTCTCCCACTGCTGGCCACTGGGCTTCCTCTCCCTACCATATTTGTTAGTGAGTGGAAACGTCAAGCAAATGCTTCACATTTATACATCCGGTGAAATATCTGTCTCATTGTTCTATATGTGGCCAGTGCCGATTTTAGCATGTAAATCTTGGTGGTGCAAGATTAGTTATTTTTTTATGCATGCAAGAAAAGCCACAACACAACATTAAACAATACATTTAATTGCACTACAACGGTGACAAACGGTGACCAAAAACTGTTAGGGCCTACAAAAAGCTGTCCCAACAGCAGAGCTTTCTTTTCAGCACAATGGAGTGAATCCTTACCACTGCTACACCTGGCCATCAGCCGAGCCTTGTCTGGCAGCGAAACAGTTCATTCAGCCTCATTTACTGCCTTTAAAAAAACATAGCTGATTTGGCTAGCTTGCTTAAACAAATGTGGTTTCTACTGACAATTGAGATGTACAAACTATGGAATAAGGGGACGATGAGCAGATAAGAGGCAATCTGTAATTTCGATTAAGACGGACGTAGTCAATATAACTATTTGTTCAGCACTTTTGAAATGTACAGCGACAGAATTCAGAACATGGGCCGTTCTTACAGTATTCTCCCTGTACAACAAGGGGGCATATAAGCAGACAATGAAAGCTCTTACAATATTTGATGATTCAATTTCTCTAAAACAGACTATTAGCTACATGTGCACCACCAAGTTAGAACAGTAGGCTAAATTATGAGGGGAAAATTGACCAAATTATTAGGGTGAGGCACATGGGCTACTAACAGCTTACTACACAACATAACATTTTTTTTTTTGTAAATTTTATTTTAAAGGATTTTCTTTTGCAATTTAGTACAAAACAAAAGCACACAAAAAACTAACAAAAAAACACAGCTGCCAGACATATGAAATGAAGTATTGCTTAAGCAAGACATGGGACAAGAATAGAGCAACAATGACAGTCACAACAACAATAAGCGTTCCTACTCAGTGTTCACAGTCAGTCTCTGTCCAGACGGTCCAGAAACGGAACCCAAATGTTGAGAAATCTGCTGGAGGAGTTAGTCCTGAAAAAATGAATATTTTCCAAGTTAATGGTGTTAATAATTTCTGCTAGCCATCTACTGAAGCAAAGGGGGGTGGGTGACTTCCATTCTGTGAGATTTTACATTTTTTTCAGCCACCATTCCAAACATGTTCCTCATAGGATGATCTTAGAACAGACTCTGAGCAGCCAAAAAGAGCAAGTTCTGCATCAGGTTCAATGGCCCTCTCATATACCTTTGAGTTCCAATTAAAGATGTTCCTCCAAAAATTATTAAGTAGGGGGCAGAGCCAAAAAATATGAGTTAATGAACCCTCTGAGGCTGAACCCACACAGTGAGGAGACCTGGGGGTAAATTCTATGTAATTTGGTTTTGGAGTTATGAAGTCTATGCATGACTTGTATTGTATCAATTGAAATCTGGCATTGATGGAACAGGAATGAATTCTAGACAGGGCTTCTCCCCATACATCATCTGAGATGTTAATATTTAACTCTTTACCCCAGGTCTCCTTGAGATGACCAGTAGAGGCCAGTAGAGGAGTCAGACTGTGAGATGAGGTGTTTTGAGTTTGGGGGGGGGGGGGGGGGGGGGGGGGTTCATTTTATTTTATTTTTTATTTTTAGTCATTTAGCAGACGCTCTTATCCAGAGCGACTTACAGTTCATAAAATGAATGTTGTACAGGGAGGGTGTCAACATTTTGAATTTTCCCTTTGATATAGTGTCTGACTTGTAAATAACTGAAAAAAAGTGAATGGGAGAGATTTAATTTATTATTTAATTGGATGAATGATGCTAATTGCTTATCTTTCTTTTCTCTCCAAAACTCTTGAGCGTGCCGTCTTTAGCCAACTCTCTTGTTATCTCTCTCAGAATGACCTTCTTGATCCAAACCAGTCAGGTTTCAAGACTGGTTATTCAACTGAGACTGCTCTTCTCTGTGTCACGGAGGCTCTCCGCACTGCTAAAGCTAACTCTCTCTCTTCTGCTCTCATCCTTCTAGACCTATCTGCTGCCTTTGATACTGTGAACCATCAGATCCTCCTCTCCACCCTCTCCGAGTTGGGCATCTCCGGCGCGGCTCACTCTTGGATTGCGTCCTACCTCACAGGTCGCTCCTACCAGGTGGCGTGGCGAGAATCTGTCTCCGCACCACGTGCTCTCACCACTGGTGTCCCCCAGGGCTCAGTTCTAGGCCCTCTCCTATTCTCTCTATACACCAAGTCACTTGGCTCTGTCATATCCTCACATGGTCTCTCCTATCATTGCTACGCAGACGACACACAATTCATCTTCTCCTTTCCCCCTTCTGATAACCAGGTGTCGAATCGCATCTCTGCATGTCTGGCAGACATATCAGTGTGGATGAGAGATCACCACCTCAAGCTGAACCTCGGCAAGACGGAGCTGCTCTTCCTCCCGGGGAACGACTGCCCGCTCCATGATCTCGCCATCACGGTTGACAACTCAGTTGTGTCCTCCTCCCAGAGTGCAAAGAACCTTGGCGTGACCCTGGACAACACCCTGTCGTTCTCCGCTAACATCAAAGCGGTGACCCGATCCTGTAGGTTCATGCTCTACAACATTCGCAGAGTACGACCCTACCTTACACAGGAAGCGGCACAGGTCCTAATCCAGGCACTTGTCATCTCCCGTCTGGATTACTGCAACTCGCTGTTGGCTGGGCTCCCTGCCTGTGCCATTAAACCCCTACAACTCATCCAGAACGCTAGAGCCCGTCTGGAGTTCAACCTTCCCAAGTTCTCTCACGTCACCCCGCTCCTCCGCACACTCCACTGGCTTCCAGTTGAAGCCCGCATCTGCTACAAGACCATGGTGCTTGCCTACGGAGCTGTGAGGGGAACGGCACCTCCGTACCTTCAGGCTCTGATCAGTCCCTACACCCAAATGAGGGCACCTCTGGCCTGCTGGCCCCCCTACCTCTGCGGAAGCACAGTTCCCGCTCAGCCCAGTCAAAACTGTTCGCTGCTCTGGCACCCCAATGGTGGAACAAGCTCCCTCACGACGCCAGGACAGCGGAGTCACTCACCACCTTCCGGAGACACTTGAAACCCCACCTCTTTAAG